CACAAAAACTAACTAACACACACACTACCTTTGGGAGTGCTGAGGGGATTCCAGATTTCCCTAGGGCTCAGTGGGGCTGCTGGGCGGCCGGTCACTGCAGGTGGCGAGGGAGCACTGACCCTCCAGCAAGGGAGCTGGGCAGAGAGCGCTCAGGGGAGAATGCTCCCTTCACACGCCACCCCAGGGACACCACTGCCAGCCTCAGGAGGCCCTGAGGTGGCCAGCAACTGGGCCCCCCAGGAGAAGAGGCTGGCAAACTGGCGTACATACCCGGGTTGCAGGGCGGCCCTGAGATAAGCGCAAATGCATGTTGTGATGCACTCACTCTATACTTTCTGGGGACTGTTTACTTCTTACCTCCTTGCTAGCAGACAATACCTTCTGGTATGAAGTCTGGGACAAAGGCAAGGTGGATGTAGTTAGTGTAGAAGAGGCCGAAGCAGCAAGAGCATTTTCACAATGCACAAAGTCAACTTTATCTTAGCTAATTTAATTGTCAGACAGTCCATGGAAGTTTTTACCTTACTTAATTTCCTCTGCTCAAAGCAAGAGCTATTCCATAGGCATGTGCCTGGAGCTTCAGCTCCAACAGCCCCTAAGTTAACCCAGTCGGGAGAACAGTAGTACTATGATGGAGACAATGAGAAGTGCCTTTAGGAAGGTACTCCACATCTCTCTCTCAGTCAGTCAGTCGGCATAGACAGGTATGCTGATAAATGATTGCTGTTAAAGTGCCCATAATCACAAAGTTCTCCTGTAGGTAATTTCTGGCACACAAATCAGTTTGATGTGACCCACAGCAAAGCTGAGACCGCATTACTACTCTGCTGAATTTGGGACTTTCTTTTCTCAAAGGCAGCAATCACAATCTCAGCAGTTTTGGAAAGACTGAGTCTGGTAGGGGTGGACATAAAGGTATGCTGCTGCTAGGTATTGACTTAGCCAGCACCTCCCCAGATAACATTAGTTTGGGTCCCCTGCTCTGAAAACTGGGCAGACCAAAATGCCAGATTATAATGAATATGATGAAGAGGTGTATGGTGGTGGCTGCAGTTTGAGATGAGACACTGATTTCAAGGACGTCGTGGGATTTCTGTGATTGTTCCCACATGCTCTCCGCATGTCATAATGTAAATGGCAGGGATATATGATGTCACAATTAGCAAAACCCTAGCCTCTTAGCGACTCTATCCGTATAACCCATATATCATCTGCACATTTTGAGTAGGACTATTCACAAAGATACTTGTAAACAGTGAAAAAAAAGCCAATTGTATGTAGTCACATTTCTAACCCTCCTCTGCTGACAGGTAAAGGGACTGGGCTTTTTTTTTTTTTTTAATACAAGCAATATATTTGACAGCATAATGTATAGATGATCATTTTTGTGCATAATTGTATATACCATGGCAGGAACACTTTAAAGTAGTTTTGTCACTTTGTAGGTTTTGGTTTTATGTTAATTATTTTTGTCTTACATGTCTCCTTGTTTTTATTTTTTTTAATTCACCTTACTTTTATAATTTATGATTATACATAAGAAAATATAGGAACTAATTGTTCTAATTGGGAATGTGATCTTTGGGGAATATTGGCAATAGGTGGAACTTACCGTAATCAAAGTTACATTTCAGTTGCTAAGTCAATTTACCCACAATCCATCAATCAAAAGAATCCTTGCAAACATGGGCAGAAAATAACAAAATTGAGGAGCCCAGGTATTAAGGCTCGGTGCAAGGTAGAAAAAATAATAACTATAAAGGCAAGTGGCAAAGAAGGTGGTATAATCATTAAAGGACCACTATAGTGCCAGGAAAACATACTCGTTTTCCTGGCACTATAGTGCCCTGAGGGTGCCCCCACCCTCAGGGTCCCCCTCCCGCCCGGCTCTGGAAGGGGGAAAGGGGTTTAAACTTACCTTTTTCCAGCGCTGGGCGGAGAGCTCTCCTCCTCCGATCCTCCTCTGTTCCGCCCTGTCGGCTGAATGCGCACGCACGGCATGAGCTGTGCGCGCATTCAGCCGGTCGCATAGGAAAGCATTTACAAAGCTTTCCTATGGACGCTGGCGTGCTCTCACTGTGAAAATCATCAGCTTTGGGGGAAGGCTTAACCCATTAATAAACATAGCAGTTTCTCTGAAACTGCTATGTTTATTAAAAAATGGGTTAACCCTAGCTGGACCTGGCACCCAGACCACTTCATTAAGCTGAAGTGGTCTGGGTGCCTAGAGTGGTCCTTTAAGATACAAAGTGCACAAGCAAAGTAAAACTGAAAGAAAAACAAAATTTTTCATGACAGAGTTGCTTTATCAAAATTGTCTACATTATTTTACTTTGCTATACCACATTTTATTGGTGAACAATTAAATGGATACTGTAGGCACTTTAACAACTTCCTCTTATTGCAGTTGTAATAGTCCTGCCCTGCAATGCCCATTATTAAAGTAATTAGAAGGCTTGGAAGCGCTGCTTCAACCACACCACCAAGCCCTCTTGAATCTCACTACCACAATATACCATGGCGTTACATGCACATGCCCTCCTATACTGTCAAAATCGGCCATGGAGAATCACTGAATACAATGATTGTCTATGGAGGAATTTTAAGTGCATAATGTCCTGTCTGAGACTCCAAAAATTGGAGCTTTAGATTTAAGGACACATTAATCTGTTTACCTGTGGGCCTTTAATTCATTATAATAAGGTTTGTTACTAGGAGATCTTGCAGTCATGAATCCTAGTCACAAGTACATTTCTGTACTGAAATCAGAAGACACTGCTTATCAAATTGAATTAATTAAAGCAGTTACAGACATGGGTACACTGATTCACAAATATGTCTTAACCCCTTAAGGACCAAACTTCTGGAATCAAAGGGAATCATGACATGTCACACGTGTCATGTGTCCTTAAGGGGGGGAGTACTCTAAGCACCATAGCCACTACAACTCAACATAGTGATTATAGTGGTATAAGTCCATGAATACTATCTATTCTACTCTGTCAACTTAGGAGCTGGCCGACCACTGCTCTTGTACCTACATGTTCATATTCATCCTTCCAAGGTCAATAAAATAATTACCATTGAGCTGGGTATTTGGATATTATTATTATCACTACATGTAGAATGGATTATAACACCTACTGTATATCTGTTGAGATCATTATCAGTAACATGTTATGTAAGACAGACAACAGATACCTGAAACACGTGATATGTATATGGCATTACATCACCAGCATTGGGAGGTGATGTATGTCAGGTAACAGAATTATCATTAACGGCTATTATAGGATGACTTGTCACTGTATAACACGTACATGAAAATAGGTGGCAGAGTGCCTGATGGTAGTTTGCAGGAAGGGCTGGTGACAGCATGACAGGTGAGACTGTCACTGGTAACATCTGTCAGACTGTCACCCATAGAAAGCACACAAGCACTAAAACCATAAACAGGTTTTCTTTTCCCTAAATCTCTGACCCCAGGGTAGTTTAAGGAACATTTGAAAGAATTAGAACCTTTATTGTGCTTAGATTCCATTTAATTCCGGACATCCCACTACACAGTGCATGCATGTATGTGCAGTGATCCAAATAATACAGTATATGTGTCCTGTATACAGCCCCCATGCAGTAATACTAGTATATGCTTATATGTGTAGTATACAGTCCCTGTAAAGTATTGTTATTATTATATAGTTCTATGAGCAGTATACAGCCCCCATGCACTATTATAATTATTATTTTGATACAGTGTATAAATATAAGCAGTATGTGGCCCCATGCAGCATTATTATTCTGATACAGTATACATATATATGTGCTGTAAACAGGCCCCATGGACTATGATAATTCTGATACAGTGCAGTATGCAGCCCCCATGTAATATTATTATAATTATTAAGATATTTATGAGCAGTCTGTAGCAGTATATTCTCCTCTTACCGTCTCCTTGGCAGCACTGACAGGCAGTAAGATGCTGACCCCTCGCCGTGGCTGTGTCCCTCCCCGGGGGCCCCGGGTGCCGGTGTTTGGGGGCTCCGTGTCACGATATGGTCGCTCTCCCCAGTGCTGAAAGCGGCTCTCACGATAGGTGACATAGCAAGCTAGGGCCAGCCCAGCTCCGGCAGCCCCGGACACCAGGAGCAGAAAGGAAGGCCTAGCATTGTACTGGGACCCGGGGGTCTGCAGCGACACTGACCGGCCATAAAGCCCCGACCACGGGAGGTGGGAGTCACGGAGAGCCCACAGGAGCCGGCGGAGAGCAGCCATGGGAGCGGGGATGGAGTGACAGCAGCGAGAGAGGAGGGGAGAGAGTCAATGATCGCGAGAGAAAAGCGAGCGGCCCTGCTCAGCACTCTGTAACCTGGGAGACAGAGACAGCATGCCAACTCACTGAGCCAAGAGAGACAGGGCACTCAGCAACTCACTGAGCCAGGAGACAGGGCACAGACACAGCAACTCACTGAGCCAAGAGAGAGAGCGCACAGACACATCAACTCACTGAGCCAAGAGAGAGACAGGGCACTCAGCAACTCACTGAGCCAGGAGACAGGGCACAGACACAGCAACTCACTGAGCCAAGAGAGAGACAGGGCACTCAGCAACTCACTGAGCCAAGAGAGAGACAGGGCACTCAGCAACTCACTGAGCCAGGAGACAGGGCACAGACACATCAACTCACTGAGCCAAGAGAGAGACAGGGCACTCAGCAACTCACTGAGCCAAGAGAGAGACAGGGCACTCAGCAACTCACTGAGCCAAGAGAGACAGGGCACAGACACAGCAACTCACTGAGCCAAGAGAGAGACAGGGCACTCAGCAACTCACTGAGCCAAGAGAGAGACAGGGCACAGACAGCAACTCACTGAGCCAAGAGAGACAGGGCACAGACAGCAACTCACTGAGCCAGAGAGAGACAGGGCACTCAGCAACTCACTGAGCCAAGAGAGAGACAGGGCACAGACAGCAACTCACTGAGCCAAGAGAGACAGGGCACTCAGCAACTCACTGAGCCAAGAGAGACAGGGCACTCAGCAACTCACTGAGCCAAGAGAGAGACAGGGCACTCAGCAACTCACTGAGCCAAGAGAGACAGGGCACTCAGCAACTCACTGAGCCAAGAGAGAGACAGGGCACACTGCAACTCACTTAGCCAAGAGAGAGAGGGCACCGACACAGCAACTCACTGAGCCAAGAGAGACAGGGCACTCAGCAACTCACTTAGCCAAGAGAGACAGGGCACACTGCAACTCACTGAGCCAAGAGAGACAGGGCACTCAGCAACTCACTGAGCAAAGAGAGACAGGGCACTCAGCAACTCACTGAGCCAAGAGAGAGACAGGGCACCGACACAGCAACTCACTGAGCCAAGAGAGACAGGGCACTCAGCAACTCACTTAGCCAAGAGAGACAGGGCACACTGCAACTCACTGAGCCAAGAGAGAGAGGGCACTCAACAACTCACTGAGCAAAGAGAGACAGGGCACTCAGCAACTCACTTAGCCAAGAGAGAGAGGACACAGACACAGCAACTCACTTAGCCAATAGAGAGAGGGCACAGACACAGCAACTCACTGAGCCAAGAGAGACAGGGCACTCAGCAACTCACTGAGCCAAGAGAGACAGGGCACTCAGCAACTCACTGAGCCAAGAGACCTCACCATGCCAGGGCGAGACAGGGCATACTGCAACTCACTGAGCCAAGAGAGGCAGGGCACACTGCAACTCACTGAGCTAAGGGAGCTCACAATGCCAGGAAGAGACAAGAGAAACAGGGCAGCTCACCATGCTAATGAAAGAAAGGGCATGCTCTAACTCACTGAGTCAAGGGAGCTCACAATGCCAGGGAGAGTCAGGTCACATTAAAACTTACTGAGACAAGAGAGCTCATCATGCCTGGGAGACACAGGACACACTGCAACTCACTGAGCCAAGAGAGCTCACAGTGCCAGGGAGAGATAGGAGAGACAAGGCAGCTTACCATGCCAGGGAAGACAGTGTACACTGCAACTCACTGAGCCAAGAAAGACAGGGCACACTGAGGCTCACTGTGCCAGGGAGAGATAGGTCACCTTGCAGCTCACTGTGCCATGGAGAGACAGGGCACATGACAACTCACTGTGCCAAGAGAGACAGGTCAGCTCACCATGCAAGGGAGAGAAAGGGCACACTCCAGCTCACTATGAGTGGGAGAAAGATAGAGCACACACTACCTCACTGTGTAAGGCACATACATATTAGGCAGGACACACATATTCGCTTTCTGTGCCAGGGAGAAAGGGGCATACAAATAGCAGCTCACTATGCCAGGTGGAGACAGGGTTCACACCAGCTCACTATCTTATGTATAGACAGGACACAAATATCAGCTATCTGTGACAACGAGACACTACGCACACACACACTGCATGTGCCAGGGAGCGAGCGAGCCACTCACCATCAATCCGTGCCAATGCATACACCTTCTATAAGTGTCATGGGGAGACAGGATACACACTTCCACTCATACAAGATGGAGAGAGGGGGTCACAGCTATATGTACCAATGAGACTAGGCAGACACCATCTATCTGTGCCAGGGTGAGACACAGCACACACCATCTATTTGTGCCAGGGAAAGAATGCCATACATGCCAGCTCACTGTGCCAGGCTGATGGTTCACACTGCCTATCTGTGCCAATGTGACAGGGCAAACATTAACTATCTGTGCCTCAGAGAGACAAGGCATATGCCAACTCTCTGCCAGGGTATTAGAAGGGTCAAACCAGCTGTTTGAACCAATGAGACAAGACACAGACAATCTATCTGTGTCCGGGAGAGACAGGGGACATACACCATCTATCTGTGCCAGGGATATACACTACATAGCCTGCTTACAAGACCCCTCTGGCTGCTAAATCTGCTTTATTACTAGGTTTTCTACAGGGAGTGCAGAATTATTAGGCAAGTTGTATTTTTGAGGATTAATTTTATTATTGAACAACAACCATGTTCTCAATGAACCCAAAAAACTCATTAATATCAAAGCTGAATATTTTTGGAAGTAGTTTTTAGTTTGTTTTTAGTTATAGCTATGTTAGGGGGATATCTGTGTGTGCAGGTGACTATTACTGTGCATAATTATTAGGCAACTTAACAAAAAACAAATATATACCCATTTTAATTATTTATTATTACCAGTGAAACCAATATAACATCTCAACATTCACAAATATACATTTCTGACATTCAAAAACAAAACAAAAACAAATCAGTGACCAATATAGCCACCTTTCTTTGCAAGGACACTCAAAAGCCTGCCATCCATGGATTCTGTCAGTGTTTTGATCTGTTCACCATCAACATTGCGTGCAGCAGCAACCACAGCCTCCCAGACACTGTTCAGAGAGGTGTACTGTTTTCCCTCCTTGTAAATCTCACATTTGATGATGGACCACAGGTTCTCAATGGGGTTCAGATCAGGTGAACAAGGAGGCCATGTCATTAGATTTTCTTCTTTTATACCCTTTCTTGCCAGCCACGCTGTGGAGTACTTGGACGCGTGTGATGGAGCATTGTCCTGCATGAAAATCATGTTTTTCTTGAAGGATGCAGACTTCTTCCTGTACCACTGCTTGAAGAAGGTGTCTTCCAGGAACTGGCAGTAGGACTGGGAGTTGAGCTTGACTCCATCCTCAACCCGAAAAGGCCCCACAAGCTCATCTTTGATGATACCAGCCCAAACCAGTACTCCACCTCCACCTTGCTGGCGTCTGAGTCGGACTGGAGCTCTCTGCCCTTTACCAATCCAGCCACGGGCCCATCCATCTGGCCCATCAAGACTCACTCTCATTTCATCAGTCCATAAAACCTTAGAAAAATCAGTCTTGAGATATTTCTTGGCCCAGTCTTGACGTTTCAGCTTGTGTGTCTTGTTCAGTGGTGGTCGTCTTTCAGCCTTTCTTACCTTGGCCATGTCTCTGAGTATTGCACACCTTGTGCTTTTGGGCACTCCAGTGATGTTGCAGCTCTGAAATATGGCCAAACTGGTGGCAAGTGGCATCGTGGCAGCTGCACGCTTGACTTTTCTCAGTTCATGGGCAGTTATTTTGCGCCTTGGTTTTTCCACACGCTTCTTGCGACCCTGTTGACTATTTTGAATGAAACGCTTGATTGTTCGATGATCACGCTTCAGAAGCTTTGCAATTTTAAGAGTGCTGCATCCCTCTGCAAGATATCTCACTATTTTTTACTTTTCTGAGCCTGTCAAGTCCTTCTTTTGACCCATTTTGCCAAAGGAAAGGAAGTTGCCTAATAATTATGCACACCTGATATAGGGTGTTGATGTCATTAGACCACACCCCTTCTCATTACAGAGATGCACATCACCTAATATGCTTAATTGGTAGTAGGCTTTCGAGCCTATACAGCTTGGAGTAAGACAACATGCATAAAGAGGATGATGTGGTCAAAATACTCATTTGCCTAATAATTCTGTACTCCCTGTATTAAAATGACTGTTTCACTGCTTTATGCTTCACTGAATTGCCTCGGAAGAACAAACCTGTGGCCCATAAGCGTTCTGTGATTAGCAAATCCCATTGAAAGTGCTTGAGGTGCTTCTATACTATGTAAGTACCAAAGATGCTCCCTACCATTGCTCATAATTGTCCTACTAGGCAGACTCAAAAGTTACTCTCTAGGACAAATACTTGCACACGCCATTTTCTTATGAATTTGTGTGTTTTGCCAGTTTGATCTATAAATTAATAGGTTTTTATCTCCATATAATAATATAAAATGTGTGTGAAATGTTATTTGTTTGAAAATACATATTACATGAGGAAGAGTCGGCCAACAGATATTTGTTATGTTTGATGTTTTTCAATTATTTATTTATGTTTCTGTTTAAAATATGTGTTAGAATAGTGATATGTCTGGATGTAAATGTATGTATTTACTTAAAAGTATGTAGAAGGTGTCTGTACATAAATGGAATACATAAACATTATAAATATAACTCTTTAATCATGGATAAAATATTTTAAACCAATAAAAAATATTCTAAAAATGAGCATACACCTATAATGAATAGGGTACCTAAACAACCCCTTCAAGCCACCAGTTTCTACCTGCCTGGCTCTACCCTGTCAGTACAAGGCGACATACTGAAGCTTTTCTACTCCATGACATGCATGGGTACAAAAAGCTGGGATTTGGGCTGACGGGAGGCCTGCTCTAGATTTTTAGCAGAGTATATGGGAAAGTATACAGGAACCACATGGGTCCACATAACTGTCATGCAGGCGTAGATGTCATGCAAAGTTTTTTTTTTTTTTGTGCTGCCAAGAGAGAGGTTAAAGGATTACTACAAGCACCATGACCCTTAACCCAGAGCATTCCTCCTTACTCTCCCTATTTAGGAGGGACAGTCCCTATTTTGGGTCCAAATCCGTCTGTTTCTCTTTTCTATCTGAATGACCCTTTTTTCTAGAAGCTCCATATTGCTGGTGTGTTTGAGTGTGTTCAACAGCTGGTGTGTTTGAGTGTTACATTTTAGTTGCATAAATTGTTTTTCTGTTTAATTTTTTTTTTTGGACAGTGTGCCATTCATTGGCTGAGAGAGGCCAACTGACTGTGGCTGGACTGTGAGCTACTAGCAGGGACTGCTGGCTTCTGGAATCAGAAGGACTCCATAAATCACGCTCCAGGGCTCAATATTCCCTTGCGAAACATGAAGGTGCTCCTAACAACGGGTTATCTTATCCACATTTAAGAAGTGGAGTATCAACATCAGGGGCAACAGAGGACGTGACACATGAATTGGAGGGCAGGCTAAAACTTATTTTATGTATTTTACTGTGTTTGGAAGAGGCTTTGTTTGGTTGTATAATTTCAAGATTTGGAGCTTAGGGCACCAGATGGGTTGAGGAAGGCAGTATTTGGTTATTGGACCCTGATAGCATTGGTGAGCTCTGCTTGCAATACATGAAAAGTGCTGTACTGCAGTATGCATTTCTCTTAAAAAGTCCTTATCTGGTGGGAGAAATCCAGATTGGGACCCTTGTTCCTACGTTGTCCTTTTTTTCTTTTGTCACTGTTGAGTAAGTCCTCAAAAAGTGCAAAAGCCATTTCAGGGCATTTTCCATGCTGCAGTGTCTATTAACTCATCAAGTGATTATATTAATATTTTAAATTACTACATCTATCTACAAAAGATTATTTCTATATACTATAATAATAATAATGATAAAGTATTTAACCAGGAAAGGTACATTCAGATTACTCTGGTTTGCAAGTACGTCCTGGGGTTACCTTAGCCCAACATAAGCCCAAGTTGATCAGTGATTTATTAGTTATCCACTGAGCTCCCTTTGAAGATAATTGGAATTCCTGGATAATCTCATAAAACACATTTTCATCAAGTTTTGAAAGGAATTAGATTTTTTTTACATTTAGTATATGTAAAAACCAAAATGGAAAAAAAAAAACATATCACTACCTTTAGAATGTGGCAGGATCCTTAAGTCATATAAGTGCAGCTTGGTCAGACAGTGCAACATAGAGTTAGGCCATTGAGACTAATCAGTTTTCAAACACTGTCTGAGCCTAAGTGCATGTATATGGCTGAAGGATCTTTTCATATGCTAATGGCTTATCAGATCTCTCTACCCTTGTCTTGTACCATCCTTAACACACATCGTAGACTGCTCTCTTTCACCTGGTGTTGTTCCTGCTCCCCGTAAGCATGCTTTTGTCATACCCAGTGGTGTATTTTGAAATGGTGCTGCCCTAGGCATGACAGATCTCGGGCACCCCCTAATTTGAATGTACCTGCCCCTTCCTGCCAAGGCCACACCCCTTCCTGTTAACTAATACACATTTTGACTGACAGAAACACACTCACGGACCACCACACACTCATACACTCACTGATTTGACACAATCTGACAGACACATACAATAATTCAGACACTCATTGACAGATGCATACACTCACTGACAGACACACATAAGCACTGACAGACACGCCCAGTTACTGACAGTCACGCACAATCACTCAGACACACACATTCACTGGTGGGGGGGCACTTACAGACACTCACTGACAGACATACACACACATTCACTGGCAGACAGACACAAACTCACTGACAGACACACACTCACACAATGGCACACACACATTCAGAGACACACACACTCACTTACTCATTTACAGACACACACACACTCACTGACAGACACACAGACACACACATTTACTGATACACAATCACTGACACACAAACACATTCACTGACACACACACACTCATTGACACACACACTCAAAATCACTGACACACACACACTCACTCCCATTCACTGACATACAGACACACACACACACTCACTGACACACACACACATACTTACTCAATTCACTGACACACACACTCACTCATTGACACACACACTCAAAATCACTGACACACACACACTCACTCCCATTCACTGACACACACACATACACACACACTCACTGGTACACACACACACACACTTACTTTCACTGACACACACACACACTCACTCAATTCACTGACACACACACTCATTCACTGACACACACATACACTCACTCACTCACTCACATTTACTGACACACACACATTCACTCACTCACATTCACTGACACACACACTCACTCACTCACACACACACATTCTCCCCCAACACTCACAATTATTATTTTTTTTTAAATTTAAATCCACCCAGCCTCCCTACTCCCCTGAATTCTCCCCCACAGTCCTACAATGTGTCACTGCTTGCCTTTCTTCAATGATTGATTGGATGTCCTCCCGCTTTCTGAAACTCAATCTCTCTAAAACTGAGCTTCTTATTTTTCCTCCTCATAATGCTGATCCTCCTCCGTTTTCCCTGCAAGTTGATGGTACTTGCATCAGTACGTCCTTGCAAGTTATCTTGGTGTCATCTTTGATCCTGGACTCACCTTTGCGCCTCATATCCAGTATGTTGCTAAAACCTGTTGATTCCACCTTAAAAACATCGCTTACATTCATCCCTTTCTCACACAAGATGCTGCCGAGTAGCTTGTTCGTGCTCTGGTAATCTCTCGCATGGATTACTGTAATTCTCTCCTAGTTGGTCTCCCCAGAAGCTGTACAGCCCCACTACAATCTGTATTGAATGCTGCCGCCAGGCTGATCTTTCTCACCCGCCGCTTCTCCCATACCTCGCCTCTCTGTCGATCCTTACACTGGCTTCCTTTATCCTATACGTGTCAATTCAAAATACTAACCCATACCTATAAAGCTTTAAACAGCTCTAGCCGCTGTTACATTTCTTCACTGATTCATAGATATGCCCCGTCTCAGTCTCTCCACTCTGCCGGTGACCTTCTCCTGTCCTCTGCTCACACCCTTACTGCTAACATGGACTTGCAGGACTTCTTGCGGGCGGCTTCCTTCTTTTGGAACAGCCTGTCTAACCCCATCGGAACTCTCCCCCAGTCTTCAATTGTTTAAGAAGTCACTCAAAATACATCTGTTCTGAAATGCTTATGGACTCCCAGAGTAACTTATCTATACTTATCCATATCTGTATCTTGCTCTCCTAAAGAGCCACACTCTCACCTCCACTTCTGTTACTTTTACACCTTGTTTCGTGGCTGTCACCCTTGCTTCCCTATTGTGTTTTTGTACCCCACCTCCTCTTGACTGTAAGCTCATTTGAGCAGGGCCCTCATCTACCTATTGTTCCTGTGTCACTGTGTAATTGTCTCATTTATTGTAAATTTCCCCATCCCTTTCATAATATTGTAAAGCAAAGCGGAATTAGTTGTTGCTATATAAATACCAATAATAATAAAAATAACGGTAGGGATGAGGTTTTTCTCATTTCTCTTTTACATATACTTAATGTAAATAAAAATATATATATTTCCTTTCAAAACTTGAAAAAGGAATTATTATATTTAAAAATAATTTTGATGTGACAGTTGTCACATTCCTGATATATTCCTGATCTATGTAATGAGATTTGTAGTCCAAACATGCGATATCTCAAATATCAGAAGCTTCTCATCCCCATTAATGCTGTTTAGTCCCAAAACATTTTTTATGCCTTTGAATAATCTGCTGATTTTAGTTTTTGCTATGGAGATGCAACAATACAAATGATACACATTTTATAATCAGGCTAATCTTGAAATAAACAGACGTTGAACTATTGTAAAGCATCTTCATGTAAGTATAACCAATTCTGACTGGTTACAAATGATGATAAGAGGTTTCGGGATAGGCTAGATAGTTAAATGTTCACTTCTGCCTTGGGGCATCCTACTCCCCTTCAAACTAGTTCTAAAAAAACTGTACCTGTTTGTGTAAGTGTATAATCACATAATCTTCGTTTGCAAATTGTAGCTAATTGAGACCATTATTGATGGCATTTCCTAAAACGTGTCTTCTCAAGTTAACCTTTTCAAGGAGTAAATTTCTTTACAAAGCAGATTCAGGATTAAGAACATTACTCTAAAATATGTAACACAAATAGCAGAAAATTCTATGATCTCTAAAGTAAATTAAAAAATTATTTATTAAGCACTGAATTGCAGTTAATTAAAAAACAAATTTCAAAATTTTCATAAATGATCTATTTTGGCCTATGTTTTGCAATTAAAGGATTGATCCAGCCCTCCTTTTTACCTTGTGTTATTTTTGTTTGAAATGGCTTTTTGTGGACCTGTCACCTATCCCCCCATATATTTTTTATCCTATAAAATAATGTAAAAGATAACCTTGAATCCAAGTTCTCTAAAAAACGCTCCTGTCTACCTTGCAGTCATAGTGTGTCACTAGTTTCCTGTCTGAGGTCCAATCAAATACCTCTTCTAGAGAAACATTGCTGTACCCTCTACTTCTCTATCAGAAGTAGTGAGTGCTACGGCGCGGATGCTCACGAACAGTGAGATAAACTGCGTGACAGTTTATCTCGCAACTAAAGCTTGCCCACCTCCCAATTACACTCTGAGTGTAGGAGAAAAACGGAGTTAAAGGACCACTATAGTGCCAGGAAAACATACTCGTTTTCCTGGCACTATAGTGCCCTGAGGGTGCCCCCACCCTCAGGGACCCCCTCCCGCCCGGCTCTGGAAAGGGGTAAAACTTACCTTTTTCCAGCGCTGGGCGGAGAGCTCTCCTCCTCCTCTCCGCCTCCGTTCCGCCCCGCCGGCTGAATGCGCACGCGCGGCAAGAGCTGCGCGCGCATTCAGCCCGTCGCATAGGAAAGCATTTACAATGCTTTCCTATGAACGCTTGCGTGCTCTCACTGTGAAAATCACAGTGAGAAGCACGCAAGCGCCTCTAGTGGCTGTCAATGAGACAGCCACTAGAGGATTAGGGGGAAGGCTTAACCCATTCACAATTATAGCAGTTTCTCTGAAACTGCTATAATTATGAAAAAATGGGTTAACCCTAGCTGGACCTGGCACCCAGACCACTTCATTAAGCTGAAGTGGTCTGGGTGCCTAGAGTGGTCCTTTAAGTCTTCACTTAGAGTGATGTAAGACAAGGGGACAGGATGAACTAAATGGCATTAAAATATAATGTAGGGAGGTGGGAAGAGCTAGCATAAGGTAGATTTTATGGGATACATAAAGGGAGAGGAAAATTTTACTTTGAGCCAGTGATTTGGACTTTGTGCATCTGAGACTGCACACTCTTAGTCTTACACCCCTCTCCTAACGGGGTTATACACTAAGTGAATTTAATGTGAATTTCAAATTGAAGGCCAATGTAGCCTAACTCAAAACATAGCTTAGACTTAGAGAATCATTCTTTTGGCCTTAAATTGTTTTTGAATTACCTTGAATTCTCACTTTGGTGAATAACCCTTTAATAGTGAATTGAAAACCTATTTGCAAAATGTAAATATCTAAAAGAGTCAGTCTGTGTATTGAGCGGCATTGGGGAATTTATCCAAATCTGCTAATTTTCGCTAAGATTTTGCAATCTGGTTTCCGATGGTTTACCATTTCATATTAGTCTAGTAAACCCCTGTGATTTCTGTGATACTCAGCAATCATCCTAAAAGTAAATGAGTGTTTATGTGACTGATCACAGGTGTGATATAATCCCTTACTATGATCAAACATGTTTTTATTTATTTTTTATTTATATACGTATAAGTACATCCTGACATCACATCTGCTTTCTGATGACACAGTAAGGGTATTTAAGCAGATCAAATTACACTTTCCACAAAATTCCTTAGGCAAACTCATTGAACAAATACCCCAAAAGTCCCATGTGATGAATCACTCTTGACGTCAATGTGAACTCATTTCCCTGAGTTGAAAGATCTTCCAGGAAATGACTGAATCATACTGCATCACAACAAATAAGTAGATTGGTAAAAAGAAAATCTCAAAAATATGGACGACCTTTGATATATACTATAAAGTTTATTTACTAAAGTGGGAATTCAAATTAAATTTCAAGTTTAATACCACTGTAGCTGAACAGAAGTCATTGCTGGCTTAGAATATATTTCCAGTTAGGATACGCTTGCTTTAAATTTGAAATTCCTATTGAATTCACATTTTAAAAACGTATTGTTCAAAAAGACGATTGTGCATTTTCCTACGTGTGTTAAAGACATTCCTACTTGACTACAGAATCTTGCCAATATTTACTTATATACTGTAATCCCATATAAGGAACACATTAACCAAGTGCTGACTGACTCTGAACACTTCCAGTGTCCTCCTGTTGATTATGTACTGGAGCTGTTGGAGATGGTTCTAATCCAAAACTACTTCAGATCTAAATTTACTCAGGCCAATCTTTGGGACCTTGATGGGGGGGAATATGGCCCCAGTGTATGCAAATAGTTATGTGCATATCTTTGAGCAAAAGCATATTTTGGGACCCTAACAGAAGAACCATCATATTATATCAAAGGTTCATCGATGATATCATGATGATTTTTAAAGGCAACATTGAATCAGTTGAGGCAATGGTACAGGGCATCAGTTCCTCTAACTCAACTATTAAACTTACCATTTGCAGACAATTGACTTCCTGGATGTCCGCATCTATAGAAAAGACTAAAGGATTTACCGAAGGGCAAATCCTTATTGGAATGGATTTACCAAAAGGCAAGCTATTGCGTTTCTCTAAACCTTTATCTGTTAAAAGAGTAATCCTGACGTGCTTACTATGTCTAGAGCATTATTAGCTAAAACTCGCTGATGATGCCGAAATCTCTGTATCTGCTGTATCTCTCATGCAGAAAGAATGTACCATGCTTATAGTTCTTAGGGAACAACTCAGTGAAAAGTAATACTCAACAGCACATTTCCAAAATGTGGGATAAATTAAGAGAAATAGGGTAGAAGGAACATGTCCTACAAGAAGCACTGGGTACGATCTATGGATTACCCCACCAAGGAATAACAAGCATCCTCTAATGGTTTCCAAGCAATGTTCAATATAGCTTCGAAAAAAGTGCGAAGCATCATTAACACCAACTGGCTAGTTTTGGTGACAGCTCACTACCAGAAGGACTTCATGAGCACTTAATTATGTGCTAAAGAGTTAAAAACCTGAAGGACCTTCTTGTAAAAACCAACCCAGTACATTGCTACAGATCTAAAAATGGGTTCAAGTGCCCTGGCTGTTATAGTTGCCTTAGTTGCATTACATGTGGGCACATTGTCCTAGGGAAGGCATACAATACACCATCAGGCATAGGATATCATGTACCACAGACCTTGTTGTATATAAGCTGGTGTGACCGTGAGGATTTGCCTATGTAGGGAAAACATACCTACCCTTGAGTGAATGAATATGCAACCAGAGATCGAACATTATAATTGTCTACAGGGATAAGACCATATCAGTGGCAAACCATTTTCTGGAGCAGGTAAACCTGCTTCCTACACTAAAATTCACAGCAATTTATCATATCACCCCTCTCAGCAGAAGTGTTGACAGGAAGAGGTTACTACAACATAAACTGTTATGCATTAGGTCATTTGACACTGCATACCACAAGGGGTTAAATGAGAAACATACATTATCAGTTTTTCTTGTACATAGATTGAAAAAAAATCTTTTTCCCCCCTTTAAATTAGTAGCTTGGAATTCCATATCACAATTGCAGCTTCCAGACATGAATATAAATGGTTCTCTTTGTCTGTTAGCATCACTGTGATATGCAGTATTGAACTTGCATTGCAGGGGTCTATAAGTAGACTCTATTCACTGTATAAAACTGTATTTCCATCACTGTATTGCAGAATGTAGCCCCATATAAGTTTTGCAGCTGTTTAATTAGACAGGTGATGTGATGGGTACGGTGGTAGAGCCACTGTAAACATTCAAATCTATTCTTTACAATCCTTAGCCCACATGGCCCATGTTGAGCATTGCTATAGATGTACAACCTTATTTGGCAGTTGTCAGTGATCCTTGCCCCCATAAAATATGTAATTAGGTGGCATGCCAATTCATGTGTTCTATAATTCATTAAGTTGTCAACAAACTGGGCATATATAATTC